ATTAACTGTAGCTACAAATCAGACAAGTTAGCAATGCGAGCAAGTAGGAAACAATAATAAACAAAAAGATCAACTGTTGCACTCACTATACTAGTGATACTGGGTCGGCGCAGTTATCTCTGAGACTGCATCTCCCTCTAGTGTCTGCCGCACCCCTAATCTAAAACCCTGATGACTTTTAGTTCTTTATCGTGGTCGGAGTACCCCATATGAAGGGTGAATACGACCTTAGGGATTTATGCAGTACCATCCCTTACACTCATCTTCCCCACTGGAGGCTCGGGGCTTAAAAAGGTTTGAAAAATATAAGAGCCATATCTTCTCCAAGGGTGACCTCCTTCCAAAGAAGAAAGACCCTTGCCTATTGACTCCAAGCATTTGGTACTAATTGAGTAAGCGTTAAATTGTATTGTCTAAGTAGGTATCTAAAGAATGAGTATAGGGACAACATCATCCTGCCACTAAAAAAGGCCTCACTCACCGCCATGCACTCCGCCTTGGGGAAACAAGCTCGCTCATCCAAGGTGGGTACGAACATCCCAATGGTATTATAGATTCTATACCTTTCCCTGAAGGCCTTCAACTCATTCTCTTCTATGCTCGTTGGCCACAAAGATACCCCTCACCTTACACTATAGTCTATGGGGCCTTCGACATCATCCACGCACTATGTGGACCACCCATCACCTCCATGATCTTCTTAGTTGGGATTACAGGAAACAAACTAACATGTTTACTCCCTAGGAAGACCCCTTTTTGGTGCTTTTCTTTGAGAAAGAAGCCATTACATGCAACAAACGCGAAATGAGGTAAGATTCTAATATTTACGCCGGCAATGAACACACTAGAGGCTTGAAGTTTCAAGCGATCGTTGAAAATGCAATGAAGGTAGTTTGGAGTCTCAGAGAATTCTTGGGAAGCCTTTCGAATGTTTAAGAGCTTTTACAAAAGTGAAACGAGAAAAAATGGTGAAGTCTGTCTCTTTTATATATAGGCAGGTTTTATAAGAGCTTTTCATTCAGTCATATTATAGGTTTCAGTTGATCCAATAGCCTTGTCCTCTTTAGCAAGGGCCACACCTTAAAAGTCCACGCACTATATGAATAACCGTACATAGACTTCAAGGACAAATTGTTACATTGCACTACTTTTTTCTTCACCACCAACTCGAAAATCTATGTACTATATGGATAATCATTCATGGACTTCAAGGAATATTGTTACACCTTGATTCACAATACCCCAAATATCCTACATGGTGAGCAAAGATATGCCCCCATTCCGTCTCGGAATATATTAACACAAGGCTGATCTAACCGAACCCTTTCATATGGTTGAACTAATATGCTTGTCGACTCCACTAATCCACACTGACCCTTATGGAAGGAGCCGGCCCATGAGTGGAGATGAGACCACGGAAGGAACTCAATACGAAAACTCCCAAGCAATCTGTTTGACATACGATTGATGTGAAAATTCACTGTCACCGCATCCACTACCAACCTATCCGATCAAGTCCAAATCAGCAAGTTAGGCATTATGGATGCTAAAGTGGTATTAAAATTTAAGGCTCATGATTGATTGATGTCTAAGATTAGAGGCATCAGCCGCAAGGATGAGGCCATGTGTTTTTTCATCCAACGACTCTCATTTCATCTTCTTATAGTATAAAAGTTCACAGTTAGTGCCATTGAAAGGTAATCCAAATTTTTAGATTGTTAAACTATAATTTTGACCTGTCATTATTTTATTGGTGACTCCCCACAACCGACCTCCTTTTTACATTGGAGGCTAACGTCTAATGTTCTCTACGCTCATATATTTACTTTCCCAACTGAGTTGACCGTCGGAGTGTGCACGACCAACTCTATCCCTACTGGAGGAGGTCACGTATGACTAACTGTTTATCCAAATATGCAGGAACGAGATTTGCGTTGACATAAGAGGCCTTGAACTATGTTGACAATGTTGGAAGTACATTTTTTTGGGTCAACAGCATCTACGTGGTGCCATAAACATTCCGAAATAGGGAATGGTACTTGAAAGATCGAGACTTAGGATGAGTTCAAAATGGAGTTAAAGAAACAATTTTATCCTTAAAATGTTGTCTGTAAGAACAAAAAGAAACTGCAAGAGCTAAAGCATAACGGTACCATATGAGACTCATCAAGTTGAAATGCATCCTGTTTTGAGATCTCTGATAAGTCTAAAACCATCCAAAAATTCGTCTAAGCAATAGTCGACGTATCATTTTGTAGCTTCCTTTGGTGCTAGTTTTGCAAATTGTCCAATATTCTTCAGGGGCCCACTAATTTATAGTTGGGCCTTAGTTAATCGTAGCCGAAACGCTATTATCGAGCCAACCAGTCCCATGCCTCTCATTATTTGGGAATTCCAACAAACAACAAAATCCAAAGATTGCCTTCATCATCGTCACACTAGTCTTTTACGTGAAATTTAAAAGCCGGTCCGTCTTTGTCTAGCATTATATATGAATAAACTCTTCTTAACGCTGTATTTTCTTTTATAGAACTTGACACTACTTCTCATAATTGATACTTTGTACGTTGGAGGTCCCTTCAAAAAAATTTATATTGTTCCATTTCTTCATTATCAAACTGGTCGAGATTCGCTTAAAGGTAAGTCATGTTACTTTAAATAATTTTATTTTTTCTTTAAAAAATTAAAATGGATTTTCATTTGCTTTTTGGTTTCCATTTTGGAGATATTTTTTGTTTTATATGGTGCATGCGAAGCATGAGGGATTTAATTATTCATAGAAACGCCTTTTGTGCATGAAATTCCAATTTAATTCCTAGCCACAGGGTTTTGGTCTGCACAATATATATTTATCCTCTTCAATTCTATATCATGCTAAAAGACAAAACAAATGTTTTTGTCCTATGAGGCAGTGAGATAAACTTTGTAATATTAAAACAATTCATGCGATCCACGCTTGTCTGAAAAAATAATAACGCAGTACGAAGCGAAAAAATGGGCAAAATACAAGATCGCAATAGAATTTCAAGAATTGATAATCATCACTCATTACATCTGAGCTAATATAGAGAAATTTTACTAACAACTTTGTCAATACTGAAGTTGGATAGAAGAATTGAAAAACTCCATATACAGTAATTTTTATTATGAAAGTTGTCTATGATATAACGTAAGAGGACAATAATCTCTTTCTATGGCATAGTGATTAGTTACGAATTCATAAAGGAACAAGAGATTAAGAAAAAAAAAAAAGTGAATTGATCAATCAATACTTATAAGTTTACGAGTAAGCGAACAGAGAGGAATTTTATTAACAAATTTGTTAATTTCTAAGACTGTTATATGGATGGCAACAAGGTTGGGACAATCATTATCATCCCTGCCCCCACCGTGGATTTTCGAAAATCGGGAAGGGTGGGGCGGGGTATTAGAAAAATTCATATCTACCGTCTATTTAATTGATTAATTATTCTTAAATATTATTTTAATCTTTTAAATATAATTTAAATTGAAAAATAATGTAATATAATATAATAAATGAATTTGGGAGGAGTTTCGAGAACGTAAAGTGAGGATCATGTTTTTCGTCCTCGTCCTATTTACTATTTCGGGCTGGAATTTCCTGTCGAATGCCGCATTCGAAAGGAGGCAATGTGAGGCGGGGTAGGGACGAAAAATCTTATCATCCCTTGACTATTGTACTTTGAATTGATAATTGAAAAACTCCAATTCTTTGATTTTTATTTATCCAAAGACCAAGAAAATTAAAACCCAAATCTTGAGTTTTAAAGACTTCTAATAATATTAAAGACACGCCATAACTCTAATTAGTTAAAGTTAACATAAAATAATGAAATAAAGCGATTATTAACATGAATCATTTAATTTATTTGTTTATCATTAAAATAAAATTAACATAAGCTATCATAACATACACAATCTATGATGTAGTTGAAATATGAATTATTTAATTTATTATTTTTAATAGGAATCAATTTTTTTTTTTTTTTTAACTCAACCATAAACATTTCATTAAAAGATATGGTTTCAAATAGTGGAAGATAGAAAAACCGGCATACAATCATCCAGTGTAATATATCAGCAATATGAAAAGAGAAAGACTCGAGTTCATGGGCCATTTTATTCCAATTCCTAGGAATCATTTTGTAAGTAACATAATATAAGAGCATCGGGGCATGGCAAGGATTAGGATGCGTGTTATACAAGTTCTTGATTGACAATTGAATTAGAAGATATGGGACCCACAACTTTTCAACACACAATTTATCGATTTTTATCAAAATTTACTAAAAATCTGATTTTAATATCCACCAAATAGATGCTTAAAATAAATCATCCTAAGAATGATGTGCTCAATTTGGTCGCATGAGAGTGTGATTGTACAACGCATTTCTTAGCATCAATGTACAATTTACATAATAGGATGAATTCATGTAATTATGTAAACATACCTACTTTGTTAACACTTGTACCAATAAATTGCACAATCAGTCCCTAACTTATTGTCTCGGTTCTTAACCTTTCACTACAGATGCATAATTAATTCTCAATAAGAAAAACCTTCCAATCTCGGTTAACTTCAAGAGTGTCTAAATTTTGAAAGTGCAGCATGCATGAGGGCCCGACAGAAATTTAACGAAGATATAAATTGTTTTTATTATTATTCAAGATCAATCTTGCAACCATGATGAAATTTTAATGACCAACTTGTTCTTTTTAAAGGTCGTGGACTAGCTTCCTACTAGGGCAATCAATTAGGGATCAAAATGCAATTTCCCTGAAAAGTTGCCAGTCCCTACCCATTATATAATGCAAAATAAGAAATTATTTAATATGTTGCATTACTTTGCATTATATATTATAGTGTGTGTGTGTGTATTTATATATGCTTCAACTAATGCTTCTATAGAAATTCTGTAAAATCAGTTTCTACTTTCTATTACCCCTTAGCCAATATACTCTTGAATTTATCCTAAACCATGAGCTGGTGGTTTAACAGATCCATCAATGCTTGTAAACAGGCATGTATTTCTTTTTGATTCATATAATAACATTTTTTTCTTATCGGGTCCGAAAAATTGAAACGACATAGAGAAGATTAACGATATTTTTTTTTCTATAGGATGATTTAATTTCCTCTTTTATGTCCCTTGTGTGGTTTTCCTTAACTTTTTCTCATGATTTGCAGAAGAAATTTCAAGAAAATGGAGTTGAACAACAACAGAATGGAGTTGTCCAAAGTTACAAGAGTGTGGCCCTAATAGTTGGTGTCACGGGCATAGTTGGCAGCAGTTTGTCTGAGATTCTTCAATATCCCGATACTCCAGGCGGCCCGTGGAAGGTCTACGGTGTGGCCCGCCGCCCCCGGCCAACGTGGTTAGCCAAAAGCCATGTTGAATATGTCCAGTGTGATGTTTCAAACACAGAAGAAGCAATTTCCAAGATTTCTCCTCTAACTGATATTACTCATATTTTCTATGTTTCTTGGATGGGAAACGAGGATTGTAGCATGAATGCTGTCATGTTCCAAAACATCCTTAATTCAGTCATACCAAATGCTCCAAATCTCCAACATATTTGTCTCCAAACTGGAAGCAAACACTACATTGGACTGTTTGAAACAGATACACCAGACACACACGACACACCATATACCGAGGACCTGCCTCGACTGAAGCAACCGAATTTCTATCATAATCTCGAAGACATACTCTACGAAGAAACCGCGAAAAAGGGCTTAACCTGGTCGGTCCACAGGCCTGCACTAGTTTTCGGGTTCTCCCCATGTAGCCTGATGAATATTGTTAGTACACTTTCTGTTTATGCTGCAATTTGCAAGCATGAGAAAAAGCCTTTAGTATATCCCGGATCAAAGGCTTCGTGGAATTGTTTCGTGGATGCAGCAGATGCCGAGTTGGCTGCTGAACATCAGATATGGGCTGCTGTCGATCCAAACGCGAAAAATCAGGCTTTCAATTGTACTAATGGAGATCTTTTCAAGTGGAAACATATATGGAAAGTTTTGGCCAATCAATTCGACTTGGAGATGGTGGGATATATCGAAGGAAACGAGCAAGTTAGCATGGAGGAATTGATGAAGGATAAGGACTCGGTGTGGGACGAGATTGTGAGAACGAACAATTTGACGCCTACTAAGTTGAAGGATATTGCTGCATTTTGGTTTGCTGATATTGCATTTCTGCTTGAGAATGTGCTGAGCAGTACGCACAAAAATAGGTTGCATGGTTTTATGGGATTTAGAAATACTTATACATCATTTGTTTCTTGCATTGATAAAATGAGGGCTTATAGGTTTATTCCTTGAAGGAGTGTGTGTTTTGTACTTGATTTGATGATGCTTTGTGTTTTGCATGTCCACCACCAAACAATTCTATCAAAACAATGGTGTTAACCTATTTTAATGTAGTATTTGTGGATTGTTCTATAGTTATTAAACTAAACTAGCATAAACAATAGTCGGATCTCAATTAGCATAAATGTTCCATTCAACTTTATTCGAAACTACTCGATATTTTACACACGGTACTCATATATAAACATGCTCTCAAGTCAACTAGAACTGAACACGAAAACTTTCAACTAGCAAGGAATTGGGTTTTTTCGTAGGTTTAATGTACAGATCGTCACTAAATATTTTACGAAATTCTATGTTGGTTAATAAATTTCAGTTCTTTCAACTTCAAGTTAGTTACTAAAATTAAAATTTGTTATAATTTAATGCCTTTATCTCTGTACATTAGCTTGACTAACAGAAAAATTGACATGGTAGTCTAGTTATATGTTTACTATATTGCCAAGTAGACTGTCACATTAGTTTCTTCGTTAGTAAAACTAACGAATATGAACTGGATGGCCAAATTGTAACAAAAGTTTACAAGTACATGAAACTTTGCTAAAAACAGAAACACTTTTGGCCCCAAAGTACATGCCAAAAGCAGGAATTCGATACATTTGAAGTAAAATGATTAAGTTAATAAACATAAAAAAGTGCCACGAGTAGCAAGATCCTCAGTTGCAAACATATTTTCATATCTGCAGCATATGCTGATACACAATCCCAGCGCTCAGGAATGCTCGACTTGGGGACAGGATTACTGCTCAAAGTTGGTTCCCCGTCGACTATGGAAGAATTACCTGGCTTTGAATTTAGAGGAACTCCGCTGACTTTCGGAGGCAATGGCACAAACAAATCATTCGACACAGAAGGTGGTGGCATCAGGACTGACACTGGACTAGCCGGTGGCTGATTTAGAACCTGCACTGGAAGCCCTGGTGGGGGGAGCTCAGTAAACGAATCTAAATCCAAAAAAATCATATCAGAATCGATAAAAATAGTTTTTATTATGTCAAAAAAAGTCAAATGTTCAGAACTTACCGTGACATTCAGAAGGCGTTGATATGTAGCAGTTCGACAAGAGAACTGAAATCTTGGAAACCAAGAGAGGATTAGAAGGGCCTAAGAAGGAGCAGAAGCAATAATAGCCAGCTTGAACCACCTGATTAAGGTTTACACAACAAGAAACGAGAGAGAACGGAGTTTTCCCCGAATCCATGCAATGCTGAAGGTCTATTCCCCCAAAAGAACATTCTTGCCCATGGCAATTCACCATTGAGGTGCATAAAGAAACAAGAAATGTTATATTCCAAATAAACTTAAAGAAATCCATTCCTATTTTCCCTTCAAATGTTGGTAATTATGTCCAAATGAGTCTTCCAAGAAACTTTATTAACATTTTTGACACAAGAATGACATTTATTCTGTGCATTTTGCAAGTTTATGACCTACCCTCAGTTCATCAAAATCTTACCTTCTGTCTATCTACCAAAATCAATTAATTTTGTTGGGAACAAATATCATACATTTAGAATTTAGTCTTTCTTTTATATGCATGCATATGACTCAAGTCAAAACTCATTTTGTCAAATTCATGAAATAAGAGTGGTTAAACTGTTTGTATAGTGCTCTATATGACTCTATCAAACTTTGAGCCTTTTTTTCCCCCTTTTTTTCTTAATTTTATTCAAATCTATAGTTATTAATGTATCTTCATCACCTTTGCTAGTTCCCCCGATTAACCCAACACTCTAAATTTTTGTAAGGTTAGGTGTTACTCCAGTATTGTAGGAGGCACACGTGGCAAGATAGGGCACCTTAATTGAACCGAATCAATATCATATCAATTAAAATTCCTAAACAATCTTCTCCAAGGCTTTGTCCTAGCTTAAACTTTATTTTGGGTCGGGATAATACATTATTAACGATCCATCTTGACCAACATGTCTCGTATCTTTCTCTTTATATATGCAAGTAATTGGCATAAGATAAGCAACCGAACTACTAGCCAAATTCCTTTTCACTTGTCTCCCCTGCAAAAGTCATTTTATATTTTATAATTCTGGCTAGTGATTTGATCATCGGATTCAAACAGTTGCATTGAAGGCCTTTGCCTCTAATGGGATGTCATTGTGCAGGAGACATGTACATGAAGGGGAAGGTAGCCACGAGACAGTAACAGTCTCTAATGGGATGTCATTGTGCAGGTGACATGTACATGAAGGGGAAGGTAGCCACAAGACATTAACAGCTTGATCCTATCGGATTTTGAGGTCAACAAATAAGAAAACATGCCCCTGGACGGCTTGTGCGAGGCTAAACATGACACTGGACCAAACGAATTTTTCATTTTTATATTTGATTAACTTTAAAAATAATAACAAAAAGAAAGATTAGGTGAACTGTTGGCAGAGAGCAAAAAGCTCTATGCCATGCCACAAGCAGATCCCTGCAAATTCCTAAAGATGCTTGTGAAGTTTGTACAGTGCCATTCAAACTGCATCTCCACAATGGTTTAGGCGGGCTAGAAAGGAGGATCAGCCTATGAAACGTTCCATGTCAGTGTGTCCTAGACGGCCGGGGCAGCCTGACCCAAGTGCGCAACCTAGCCTTTATTCCGAAACATCAACCTATCCAGTTAGAAAATAGGTTACGGAGTTGAACCTCTTGAAACCACAACCTTGCCCTAAATTTTCCAAACAAAATAATAATTAATAATAATTGAAGAACAAAAAAAAAGAAAAAAAGAAAAAGCAGTTTTATGAGTAAAAACACACTTCTTCAACTAACATCGGTAGCTAGAAGTACAATTTCATTATTCCTCAATAGCTTCGCAAATTATCTGATATCAATAATAATGCAACAAGAATTACTACATGTCGTATGTTGGTATACAATACTGAAAATTACTGCACAAGACAACAAGCAACTTTTTTATTTTATTTTTTATCTTCTTCAGTCCTGTCCGATGAGACATTCAACTGACAAATTAAACATCACTTATGTTACCCAATAATTCACTTGAATATACGCACTCATGTGCAATCTTCCGTCCAAGAGTACAAGAAAATTGACCATTAATACAAACAAGAAGAAACAATGAACACAAGGACTATTATTTTTTGAATTGCTGTACATTCCACCAATCAATATTACAACAACGCGAAGAAACTGCAGCTCGGGAAGTGTGGAACATCATCTGGCAAGTGGAATTAATCTAGTTTCAGACTTCTCTATCGAATTCAAACCTGAATAGAGGTAATCTACTAGTCCTGAAAATCCTACATAATACAACATAATTGATACAAAAAAACTGATTCACAATGAAGAGACGAGATGAGGGAGGTGTGTACATGGTGTACCTGGAAAAGTTACTGCTCAATTCTGAGTACATAATTTAGTTATGAGCAAAATATTGCTAAAAATAGAACATAATGCATATGTATATCACTTGATGCCATAAAGGATAACCCCAAAACCTCTTAACTTTTTCATCCCATATCAACCGATCAATAGGAATGAAAAAGGAATTAGCTCCTCCTCAGACTGCACGCAGTGCCAAAAACTGCAGTATAAATAAAGTAAAAGCATGAGAAAGTAGACATTTCTATGCATGTTATTTGTTATTATCAACAGAACCCTATAGCAAAGTTTTATGCGAAATTTAGGCTCTAAAACATAATTGGTTTAAGAATTGCATAGTGAGAAACAAATATCTGAAACATGTATAGCAATATAGTAACTCAAGCATGTACAGGAAACTTCAAGGAACACAACTGTTTCTTCTCTTCACATGTAAAACAATACGATTCCACATCGGTGTCCACATCAATGTAGTGAACTTGCTAATTATCTGTTCCTTATTTCTTTTGGGTGCTTTTCAAAAGGTTATGGAGATGGGAGAGGGTGGGTGAAAGAGATGATGTTCCTTTTTTTCTTTATTTTTTCTTTATTTTTTGTTTATTTGAACTTGAAATTTTTATTTTTTTCGTCAAATTTAGGCCTTGTTTGGCCCCATTTTCTAAAGCTCATTTTTTTCCCAACTCATTATGAGTAAGAAGCATTCAACATGTACACCACATCCAAGCAATCATCCGAAATTAAGGATTGCTGCAGGGTTGATGAAGACTATCCACATGATCAACAAAGCTGTCTGTATAGAAGAAAAGGTGGTGGAATTGTTGGTGCTCTCAAAGATGAAACCAGGAATTTCAAAATTTAGAGAGCAAAAAGAGGGGTGCAGGGCTAGAAATTGCAAGGAGTGTAAGACCGGCACATCCCAGTTCGATCCACCATGATCAACAATTGATCCAAGTCAAGCTCAAGACTGTATTCCCCAGCACTTAATAGGAGCCAAGCCATTCTTATAACATTTAAAATCTTTAATTTTTAGTTATTGCATTGCATAGAGAAAATAGGACTGCGTTATACACTTAGGCCCGTTGACCAAGTTAAAAACAATTTGTAGCTATGCGATCGCAAGGCACTAAGGGAAGCAAAAGCATATGCAACATTGTTCCTCGAGCAGAATTGAAACTTGACGTATGTGGAAAAAAAAATCCAGTTTATTATGATCCAAATGATGACAATATCATGCACCCTCAAAATGTCGACAAATTTATTTCAGATGAATGCTGCAACACAAAGGAGAAAAATATGTACAACAGGTCCTAAACCAAATATTGATAACTCAAAGAAATAAAAGTTTATCCAAGTCAACAGAAAGAACAACAGCATGCATTTTAAAACTTAAAATTTACTTCTAGCGAATGAATAACGTAAAAGTGAAAAATGACTATCAGATTGAAAGGAAAAACTACAATTATCAGGCTCACCAATCAAGCAGAGGAGGAGAATAATGGAGAAAATGATTTGAACGGATCGACTGTACTGCATATGATATTGGGACCTCCGAAGTAGTCTCTGGATGGTACCAGACCAACCATACAGTTGCTTCTCATAATCATCACATCCATCAAGGCAACTTTTATTCCTTTCACAGACTGCTTTGATATTCTTCATAGAAAATGTAGAATCTGTCACGACTAGCACAATACAACTAACCAGAAACAATTAAAGACATTTGAAGACCGATTCAGATATAACCAAGGAAAATCACATACTTTGGTCAAATTTTGAGATCGAGGTAACATTGTATCAGCTTCTTCATGGCAGTCCGAAATCTTTAACTTCCTGTATCCATTCTTTGACCACTTCAAATGAGACATAGAGGATTCCATGGTATTTAAAAATCCTGAAAAACTGGGTATCTTTCTAGGCGGCGGATCAGGTTTTAGATTGGATGAACTATGAGGTAAAGAATCATCAGCAACTGCAATCTTCCAGGAACCAATGTCAGCACCAGCACTAGCTGTCCTCCGATGTTGCTGTAACTTCTCTTCCTTAGACTCCACCTGACTCAATGCCACCAAGTGAGACGAACTCATGCACTCTGGCATTGACTGTTTACCAGTCCCTTCTGAGTTTTCTGATACTCGGCCATGAACCTTTTTGGAGATTTTATCTGTGAAAGTTGATGATGGTCCTGAAAGAAACAGCGCAAGCTCTTTGTGTTCTCCTTCATCTAATTGCAGCCAGGGCAATGGTGGTTTGCCCTGAGAGACTGCCATTTCTTTTAAAGAGCTTTCAACCTTTGACAACTGACTCTCTATAGCAATTATGAAATCTCCATGCCTTTCTTTTGCATCATTAGCTGAATTCAAACTAGTATAACTCGACCTAACAGCGTGCTCAAATTGCTCCAACTGCATTAATCAAGCACGTCAACAACCATTTCATAATTACGTAGTAGGATAATGCTTTAAACATAAATTTTCCTCTATAAAAATCAAAACTCAATAATATTCGAATGTGATTTATTTAAATATGTGGCTATATAATATGTGTGTCAATAAATTTCACTTAATGTAGGTAAACTACCTGCCATTTAGCGGTGCCAAGGGCTGTTTGGAGATCTCTTTTGAGTTCAACCGCATTCCAAGCCCCAGAGGTGTCCTTTCTTGCATGAATCCAAGTTCTATAAGTTGATTCCATCCTGCAAAAAGTATCACAGAAGTTAATATTGTTATACTATAGAACTCCATTTATTTATTTCTTTATTTTTATTTTTATTTTTTTATAGGAAATCACGCCATAAAACTTAGATCATTCAAGCAAACCGAAATTTAATAAATTTCGCAAAAGCACAATTTACATTCAGGAAATATCGATTCAAAGCAAAATTTTGAAATAGACGTTCGTATACCTGTCGGTCGATTCCTGAACCTCTTCAGCAGCAGAAAAATAGGGATCTTTTTCCCATCTATCGAAATTTGATGCCATTTTCCCAAAGAGATGCAGAGTTTTGAATTAAAAATACAAATTTAGATCCAAAAAAAACACCATTTCACACAGAAATACGAAAATGAGGAAAACAGCCCTAGCAATTTCGCAATGATGCCTATTACAAAATAAATATCTAGGAATGAAAATTTATAAGGTTTACTTGTTTCTAGACATAGTTCAACAAATGAAAACCATAAATATCGAATTTAGAAAATAATAGCAGAAATGTATATTGCCCTGGATTTTGGTATATATTAACGGAAGTTTGAGATTTGGCGTGCGGTCGCGGTTAATTTTCGAGATATCAACGTTCTAATAATTAAATAAGAGAAAATTACAGATTTAATCCCTAATTTTTAGTGTGCCTGCGGCTGTTATTAATCTAACCTTTCAAATTTTGACTTTTTAATCTTATCATTTTGTGACCCTATTGCATAAGTCCCTTTATAACAAAAAAAAAAAATTAAAAAATGACGCAATCATACTCAATTCATAGATGTGCGGGACTATTCAATTAGGCTAGAAAAATTATTTTCTCGTGCGGATTCCGCGATAAATTATTTTTATAAAATTAGTTGTCTGTTAATTTTTTAGACTTTGGATTTACTAATATGTCTACCACCTAGAATCTACAATAAGTAGACCGTAATTATCGCAAAACGTCCCTTCCTTTGAAGGTTTTTGTGGAGAACGTCCCTACCTTTGAAGGTTTTTGGCGCAGAACGTCCCTACCTTTGAAGGTTTTTGGCGCAGAACGTCCCTACCTTTGACATTCATTGCGCTGAACATCCTTTTTACTAATTTTTAACATAAAATGACCATTATACCCTCCTATATAAATAAAACAAACAAGAAAAAAAATAAAGAATAAATTGCAATATGCTCCTAAACTTTTTTAAAAATGCAAATCAGTTCAAAAAAGTGGCAATTTTTTGCCCTTTTTTTCCGCCCAAATGCGTCCAAATTCCGATGGCTGGAGCCGCCGGACGTTAACACCTGTCAACAGCCCTCCAATTCCCCCTTCAATTACCACCCAACTACTCCCAATTTCAGAATTAATGCTCAAAGTTCACTGTCCTCAAATCTAAAAATCGACGGAAATTACATTCCGACCACCCCCATGATCGGAACTCATCTCCTATCAATTGTCTATCACCAGACGACCACACACATACCAACAATTTACAACAAACATCAACAAAAAAAGAAAAAAATTTAATTGCATGCCAGATTCTTTGCCAGTGGTCCGCGACCATAGGTCAAAGGGACGACACCGGAATCATCCAAGTTCATTGAGCAGAGCAATAGCCACTACTGCATTATTTTCAGTTACAAATTGAACCTATTGTGGATAAGTGTTTTAGATGAATTGCCCACATGGCTGAGGTCGTCGGGTGTGGGCAATCGGAAGGTGGTGGTCCAGGATCCTATTGCTGGCCGGAGGTGCGACTTCCAACAATTTGTCCATTTTTCGAGTAGCTGATTTTGCTTGCTGATTTCTGCCGGATTATTAGATAATATGGGGAATTCTTGGGATGGAATTGTAGAGGATGTTAAGGAGATTGTGTTGGTACCAATGTCTGGAGGTTGTGGCGGTGTAGAAGAGTAGATGTCGTCATCAGACGATGGAGGTGGTGGAGGGAGGTGGAGGAGAAGAGAGTGTGTGTTTTTGTTATTTTTAATATTTTCATAAATTTTGGACTAATTTTCATTTTTAAAAAGTTTAGGAGCAGATTGCAATTTATTCTTTATTTTTCTTTTCTTTTCTTTATTTTTTTATTTATATAGAAGGGCATATTGGTCATTTTATGTTAAAAATTGGTGAAAATGACTTTCAGCACAAAGAATATGAAAGGTATGGACGTTCTGCGGCAAAAAACTAAAGGTAAGGACGTTTTCTACAAAAACTTTCAAAGATAGGAACGTTTTGTGCCAATTACCCATGATTAAAATGAGTAATATGCTAATTCTTTTGGAAAACGTGACAATGAGCTCAAAACAACATATATTGTTGTTCATAATCAGTCTTTACAAATACTCTACTTCATTGCCAAATAAAAAGCGTGCTTTCAGAGAAAAAGTGATGCAGTCGTGACTCAATTCATATATATATGTAGGACTATTCGAAACATGGGCTGATGGACGTGTGCTGGCGTAAAGACTAAGCAAGCTATTTTCTTTAGTGGAGATTTTACAAAACTATTTTCTTGTACGGATGTCACGGCAAACTATTTTTATATAACTGGTTGAATTTGTTAATTTTTAAGATTTAGGACTTATTAGTCTCCGTCTACCATCTACAATCAACAATATATAAAATGAATAGTATCCCAACTTTATTGAAGAATACCACACTACCACGTATACTATCTATCAACAATGCTCGCAAATAATATTATTCTGTTGTAAATAGTAAGTTTATTCGTGAATGGCAATTGTACTCCTACAGCCCTAGAAATTATTATCATGCGTATCTATATTCATTTCCTATAAATATAGGATTTTGATTCTCATTATAATACACGCAAGTCTATTGACTTTTATTCTCTCTTCTTTTTTTTTCTTTTTTCACAACACGTTATCAACACGATTTCTTTTCAAAAAAGGCTCATTTTTATAACGAAATGAATTCCAGCAATGTGATTACGTGAATTCTTTTTTTTACATTAAAGAATGGTGGCCAAACCATTCGATCAATTTTGGTAACCTGATTCCCAAGTCTACTGTTTGCGCTCCATTTATGTGAATATTGTGAATATCTTTAACCTAATCATTGCTATCACATTTAATAGTGGGCTGGAATTTGCATAGAACTTTGTATATACGTATGTACATAATCTCATTCGCTGAATCGGATATTCGGAATCAACTTCGGTAACAATTTTAATGGTGGACGGTAATTAATTATTTGTCATTTGTGATTATATAACTATTATATATGAAATTGATTAATCGATTTAGAATAGTTTATCAAAATAAATTATTTTGTTAATTAATATATTAATTTGATGTTTGCTATTTGTAAATCCAATCAATTTTTAGATTTTTTTTTTTTTTTTTATATTCTGGAATTGATACATATCGTGTTGTTGCTTCTAAAGAAGCACAAACATTTAAGTTCCATATTGTATTAAAGTATTTCTTGCTCTCGAATGGCATAATTTTATAAGATCTAGTATATTTTATTTTGCTCCTGATGAGTAGATAAATTATTGTTGCTCCTGAAGTAGCACATTATTATTAATATTCTATTTAGATTTTACTTGCTCTTGAAGAGTATAATTAAATAAAATAAATTGTGTTTTAACTCGTGAAAAATAAATTTTTATACAATTTATTATTTCTAATAATAATATGTTATTGCTCATGAAGAGCATGACACTNATAGCTCCTGAAGAGCATAAAACTCTGATTCCAATATTGCTCTTGAAGAAGCAAATATATGGCTCCTGAAGAGCTAATATTTCGAAATAATAGTTCATTGTTGTCCATGAAGTTGCACAACATTATAATTAATATTTCAGAAGAATATTACTTGCTTCTAAAGAGCATGTATTATAATTTTCAATATTTCAGAAAAATATTAACATATTGCTTTTGAATTAGAAATAATAAATACAATGTGCTCTCGAAGTATCACAAGTTTCAAAAATGTATCGTTTTGAATTCATGTTTATCCCTAAAGGACAACATGTAATGAATGTCATGAGGACATTGATTAATTTGATTACTTGAATGATATATGATTATATAATATTTAATCATATTTTTTGAAATTAAATAATTGAATTATATCTTATATTGAATAAGAAGTTCAATTTGATTTTATTGTTTGACACGATCGGTTGAACCACCACTAGATCAATAATGATGCGAAATTAAAAATGGTAATGGATATTCAACGAAATACCAGAAGATTCTTCGATCCAATTATTTCCTATATATTATTTGTTCTCTTTATCGATAATTGATCATTATACATCAATAATTAAAATAGGTACTGAATTTCCTATATTTCTGAAAATTAATTAGGGTGATAAATGGGGTTCCGTTACCCATCACGTTAATCATCTAGATATTGTTTGTATCTAACATATTTGATACAAATACTAAATGATTGCATGGTGTTTGCAACATGAAGTTTGCGAAAATATTGCTCAACTTATGAGCATAATTTTCAGATTATACAATCAAGACGGTCTGTCTTGTTAACGCTAGTGATACTAAATCTCAACATTTTAATAAGTGTTAGTTGAGATGTTATAAATGGTTTAACATTATTTTTTGTTAAACGCCTCCAATTAATTTGGTTGAGAACAAAATACTTTCAATTTCTGTTTAGAGAATGCATCATACCAATAACAAGTTCTCTATGTTATGATTAGTTTATGGTTAGAGCTTGATTTCTTAGTCTAATTGTTTGATAGTGCAATATATGTACAATTAATCCACAACATTGCATTGAGATGGAAACTAAAGAATGTTGAGAATAAATGTATAGTATGAACCATTATCTCAAATGGGTGATATTTTATAAGTTAGAAAAAATGATTGTCAATTTGATTTGACAATTCTTTCAGTAACAGAGGCGAATTAAGAAATTAGAAATATTGTACAAATGCATCATTATCTAAATTCTCATAGAAGATAATTCGAACCAAAAGTTCGGAGGATAACTCATTTAGATATATTTACCGACCAAAGAGATTAACAATCTCACACATCAATTTTAAATGCTTAAACTCGAATTGTTTCCTAAAAGGACAATTCGTTAATATTTGATAAATTTTTGACACGTCTGAAACGTAATGATATTTGATTCTATTACAAAATCCTCCAAACAAAAATGAAGCAATTGGTAAAGATGATCTTATTAAGGATGCATATACTCTTAATGAGTATAACATATTATAAATCTCTAGAAGAGGTTCATGTACTTGAAATAATCAAACTTGAGATATCTCAATAAATTATATCATTATGTGAAAAGAAAACGT